ATAGCAGTAACTTGGATTGTTTCAGTTCCTTTTCTAAAAATGTTTGCCATGGTCTCTATAATTGTTCTAAATATATGAGCTATATGTGAAGTTTCTTTAAAAGGAGGTGAAAGCAGGTTTTTTTTTGTTTACAGCATTTGGAACACTTACCAGTGTTGCTTTGCAATCTCATAGGGAGGAGTGAGTGTTGTATACTCAAACACACTTGGATTTTATGAGTCTGTTTAAGGAAAAACAGGAAACAGACCCAGAAATCTTTATCTATTGGTGCAATTTTTTTCTCTCTTGAAAAAGCATGTTTATTTATTTAAGTTTAAAATAGTCTTTCACTGTTTCTCCTCTGTTCTTTGACTTGTCTACTGAAAACAGTAGCTAGGTCATGGAATCCATTATTATTTGTGGTCTCTAAAATTTATACAGACAAGGTACTGGCTAGGATAATGGAAAATTCTCAGATATACAATGCAGGAAATGTGATAGACTTTTCTCAGCCTTGGGTTTTTGGGATTTTTTTTAATGGTCTCAGTAGTGGTCTGGGTGGTAGGAGTACTTCGTAAATATCTAAACTGTGCTGTGGATTCCCTTTTGACCTTTAGTAATTTCCGTTTTACTCTGTATAATGAAATGGGAGCGTTAGTTTTCCTTCAGAACTTGTAAGTCTGCTTTTTAATTTTTTTAAGGGATTTGTAAAAGAAAAGGAATTACTATCATTGTCCTTAACATAAAAATGCTTTTTTATCTAAGAATAAGCAAATCTGTTCCACAGGGGCTTCTTAAATATTGTTAGCTTGTTACTTGTTCTTACAAATCCTCTTTTTTTGGGTAGTGGTCAGTGTGTGCATATGTGGTAGTATGGCGGGTCTGCTCTTGATATTTGTAAAAAATGAAATAGTTTACTTGGTATAGCCTTGGCCAATCGTTTGAGACCATAGATACAATAATGCCACTTAAAATAAGTGATAAAACTATCTACAGTTTGCTTTCTGAATCTTTTACAAAATACAGATAGTTTACAAAGTTTTTGAAGATTTAAAGAAAACCATTGCAAGTTACCATGTAGTTTAAATATCAGGTATCCTCTCTCAAATGCTGTTTGTTGCTGTTCTGCTCCTTTGACAAGCAATTTCAGAGTTACATTGCAAAACATGTAAGCTTAACTAGAACAGACTCGTATTCATTTCACTGCTTCTCACTTTCTGTTCCCTCGGGAGTCATCTTGCTTGATATCAAGACTAGATATGTATGAGATAACTGTCTGCCCAAAATAAAACTGACCCAATTTGTTGGAAGCTTTTACTTGAAGGTGATATTGACTGGAAGAGCTTAGGCTTAAAAGCCGTGAATGTCAAAGTCGACTTGTGATACCGATTGTCATGGATACAGAATAAAACAAAATAACCAATAAAAGTTAAATAAACCGATAGCTATGACCTTTACAACAAATGCAACAGTATTTTGTAGCAGTAACATGTACCTCTTCTCCAAATATCTCAAATAAGTTTATAAAGAGTTAAAGAAATTCTTGCCCTTTTGAGGGTGAATAGCAGAGATTCCTGCCTGTCAGGTGTGGGAACAAGCACAAAGGGGGGAACTGATCTGTCTGAATACATGCAAAAGTCTTCAGCAGATAATTTAGGGCAATATATATTTCTTTGAAATTAATGTGTTTCTCAGTTCTGTATGTTACCACTTGCTTGTTCTTTTTTCAAGGGCCTAACATAATAATCCCTATTTCAGTTAACTTTTTATCATCTCTCAGTATTCTCATGAAGAAGTGGGCAGTGTATTATGTGGTTGTTATTGCTATGTTGCTATTTATATGTATTTAAAATTAAATAATACTTTTATTTACTTAAATATGTTATTTATTAAATTTCATCTGTATTTAAGAAAAAATTAAAGGAGTACTCTGGAGGGACTCTATTTTTAACCTGTTACAGAAATCATAATTTTCCAGGGTTTTTCTTCTGGTTGGTATGTTTTCATTTTTAATACAGTACTGAACTGTAATTATTCCTTGTGTCATCAAAACAAACTGTCCAAACCATCGTGGTAAGTGGTCATTTCAGGATAGTTCTCCAAATGAACTTCCTGCTGCAAAGCATTGCATGCTTAAAATAGACATACTTTCCCAGTTTGTAATAAACATTCAGGAAAAATACAGTGAATGCTAGTTATATAATAAAGTTACCATAAGAAATAGTGTTATATACTACATGAAGGGACACTTAGAATTTTGTACTTCCCTTCTGCATTACTTAAAGTTTCTGGCAGAGCACTGAAGTGCTTTTGTATCTTAAAGAAAATTCTAAGCTAAAATGAGAGAATGGTTTTATAGTGAGTTTTTCAGATTAAAGATATAGTTGTGGCCATAAAGTATAAAAATAGAAATAATAAATCCAAGTCAAATCTACAAATAGCCAGTTGAGTAATATGTTTCATGTAGTAGAGGATTACTGTGGGGCACTGGCTGTTCATGTCATGGGAGAGAAGGGGTGGGGAGGAGTGATCCGCTTACCAACTATCTGGTGCTTTCAGTCATTTGACATTTTTATTGCAGCTCATTTATTGTATTTTATGGTCATACCTAAGTCTGAGTTTGAAGGCGTTTGTGTAGGACGCTGCAAACTTTCTATCCAGCATCAACCTTACATTTAGATCTTATCAGAGGGTCTGTTCAAGCCTATTGCCGGAGGAGGATAACTGACCTTTTTCTCTAGTTTAATCTTTCTGCTTTTGGGTCTATGACTTACAGTTAGCAAAAAAACCTCTCGGATGTTTGCTATTTGATTGGAAAACTCAGAGAGCAGATGAGCATAGGCTACTCTAGACTATTTTCAAATATATTTCATTTTTAGAGGTATGTTAGGTGAAAAACATAACAAGTCAGCAAAGCCCAGTGTCTGTTGTACTCAGGTTTGGCAGGTTTTTAAGAGACAGACTGCTTGTATGTTTGCTGTGCTTTGTAGGTTTTTGAAAAGTATATTGAATTTTATTTTGTCTTTATCAGAGCAGTTAGTAGTGGGATTGGGATTTTGTCTTAAATGGGTGTATAGCTAGCAAATAGAGCTGTAGGGTATATGTTGTTTGTCTTGGTAAAAGGGTGGACTGGAGGACAAAGGTAGCCAACAAACTCTGATACAGGCTTAAGGCATCCTCTTAAGACAGACATGTGGCTTGATATTTTTTTATACAGGTGAGTTATACTTCTACAGGGAGATATTGAAACTTAGTAGAAGTTTTAAAATAATCTGGAGGTCACAAATATTGCATAGTTTTGAGTTTATCAATAAATAAACTCCAGATTCCATGGCTGTATCTTTCCAAGATGTTTTAATAAGAAAGCTATTGTAATTCCAGTGAAACATACTGTCCCCACCTTAGCATATTGATGGACAGAAATCCTTTGATAAACTATTCTCCAAACGGGGTTTTGTACTACCTGGCATTCTACAGACATCTGCCCAATATATAGCTATGTATGTGATGTGTTTCATTGTTGTTTTTGTATTTAGTTTCTTCAGCAACAGATTATCAAAACCTTAGGTGATGAATTGAGCAAATAATCATTTAAATTGTGAATTATATTAATGTGGAAGCAGTTGAAGGCACTTTGGGATCATCATTTACTGCTGACAAGCTGGAAGAATGACCTGAAATAAATCTCTTAAGAACATATGAAAAGTGCTACAATTCAAATAAAAGTAATTATTCAAATAAATATAACATGGGGTAACTGAAGAGGCAGTTGGCTTGCAGAATATGATCTGGTGATCTGTTACAGATCACAAACAGAAGAGAATATTTTACTGATATGTAAGGGAAGGCACTGAAGTTCTGCTGATTTTTTTCTTTTTTTTTTTTAAAGTATCATATATCGAAGCCAGGAAGTCTTTAATCTTCTCTGCTCAGCGCTATTGAGGCTCAAGTGGAGCCATGTATCCAGTGTTGGCACAGAGAGTCAGATAGAGGTAACCAGCTGGACAATGTCTAGAGGAGATAAAAATGATTAGCTGTCAAAGAAGCCTGAAAAGAGAAATTAGTGAGAATTTACATTCGTTGTTGCAAGCATGTCTCTCTCTCTCTAGATAAATATTCAGAAATGTTTTTTAAAGAAGACTAGGAGTAATTAATCTAGAGAGGGAGATCTAGACATTAGGAAAAAATACCAATTGTGAGAATATTTGAGCTCTATAATACTTTGCATAGGAAGGCCAAGGCATCCCTATCGTCAGAGGCTTTTAAGAACAGGTTAGATGAGTGTCTGGGGTTGATTGATTCTTCAGTCAAGTAGGGTTAGTGTTCTCAAGGTCCTTTCCAGCTGTTTTCTCTAATTGTCTTGAAAATAACTGTAATAGAAGTGGCTTGTGTAGGAGACAACATTGATTAGTAAGAGTTGTTGCGTTTTTATTTTAGTCAAGCAAAGTGGTGGTTTTTTTTTTTCTTCAAAGCACCAGATAACGAGTTTGTTGGATAAGTCGAGGAAAAGGTTTCTGTGCTTTGATGAGAGGGAACAACCTCTGATTAATGTTAGATACTAGATTTACACTTCCTAGCCCCATATTTTATTGAAAATTTATTAGGTTTTGTAGGTGCTTCTGCCTTGCACAGTTATTAAGTTTAGTATTACATTGAGTGCCTTTCTTCACCCTGCCTTGGCTTCTGTGATCGCTGGAAAAGCGAAGGTGTATTAAGTAATTTAAAACTGGTTTAGAAGAACACTAGGCACTTTTGTGGTAGACTGTCATAGTGTCTTTTCAATCAGAATTGCTTTTAAAAAAGTTCTGCTTTTGGTTTTATAATTACTAAGGAGGAGTCACTGTTATTTAGACGCTTATTAGTGTCTGTATCAGAGGACCGTACCTTCATAAGTTTTTAGTAATTTTTTTTGTTTCTTCTCTTGACCAAAGGCGCTTAGCCTGGACTATTTTTTAGGTGTAGTATTACATGACGTTAGTTTTTAATGCGTCATTTAAATATTTTTCCCTCCCCACCCCCAGGTCTCTGTCTTGAGAAGCTGCCAATTTCTTCTTCAGCTAGCAACCTCCACGTGGACCGTGAACAAGAGATTGTTACATGCTACGAGAAGGCTGGGGATATTGCTCTTCTGTACCTTCAGGAGATAGAAAGGGTAAGCTGGGATGATTTGCTTAATTTAAAAATTGTGTGGCTCGTCTTTCATTGATGTGGTTTAACCGACATTTTGGTAACTCAACTAAAAGATGTTGAATATTTGTTTTCTTAGGACTTCAATGCACACTCACAATTGGACAGTAAATTAGCCTTAATGAATGTCTGATGGTTGTCCTTCTGGCTGTGCCCTCATTCTGACCTCTTAGGAAGTAGTGCTAGTAGTCTGAAAAGGGACAGAGCTCCTTGCAGCAGCTTTGTATATTCAAGGTGCTGATCTGTGGCCTCTTGTTACCTTATGGTAGTTCATTTATGAACATGGGATTGTGGTGTCTTTCAAACACATGTCAGAATATGTACATTGTATGTATATACTGACTGGCTTTTCAGATAATTCTTAAAATGAAGCTATGAAGACTGAATATTGATCTTGTTGATATTTATTTGGAGCCAATAACTTAACTGCTTGTAAATTGTCTTTATAAACTACTTGAAGATAAAATTCTGAAATAACATTGACATACCAGTGGGGTGTCCAGAATAGTGACTGAAAGTATGTTTGCTTTTAAAATGTAGATGAACTTCAGATAAATCTTAGCAGTTCTATAAATTGGATCAGGACAGTGTCCTCAGACTTGATAGCCCATTTATCATTTCATTTTATTAATATATTACTCACTGTATGTATGAAACTATAGTTACTGTGGGAGACCTGTTTTTTATTGATGAAAGCTGATACATTTGAGCTTCTTAGTGCTAGACAAACCTACAAACAGCTCTGCAGAATATTAGACAAGTTACTGTTGTCTTTTTCCCCTTTGTTTTTATAAGTTATGGATTATGAATTGCCAGGCTGGACGAGGCTTTGAGCAACCTGGTCTAGTGGAGGGTGTCCCTGCCCATGGCAGGGGGGTTGGAACTCGATGATCTTTAAGGTCCTTTCCAACCCAAACCATTCTATGATTCTATGATCCTATGAATTATGGAAAGTTAAAGTTAAGCTCTTTATTTGTAAAGAGCATAACACTTCATGATTGAAAAACTTCAAGCTTTATCTGAATTTGAAGGGATACATGGGCTCTTTTATTTCCTCCTCTTGTTTCCATTTACACCGTTAACCTTGTCTTCTGTTTCTTACCACTTAACAGAAACCCTTGAAGTGTTATAAATACTTTATCTTAAAGAAAATAAAATTTTTGGTACCCCGAGTTGCTAGGTCTCTGTGCAGTACATATGGAGACAAATGAAAGCTGATGGCTCTCTGTTTTGAGAGAGCATTTTTAATGTTGGTGTAATACCAATTAAGTTATTTCTAAGTTGTTTTTTGGAAATCACTCTGGATATAACTTTTAATCTTCTTACTGCTTTCTGCAGCAGTCTTTCCTAACCTAACAGGGTTTTATGTTTTGAATGCCATCACTTCCTGCTACTGAATAAGGTTCCAAATATGTTTTTTCATATACTTTTCTTTTGTATACCAATCTTCACAAAAATTTCAGTAAAATTATTATAAAATGTTTCCTAGTGGCATTTCTGCTTGGTGAAGAAATTACCTTTAAGGGTATAGCCAAGACCAAAAAGATTTATATTTAGGTGGGAATGGAGGTAAGGATAGAAATATCGTACCAGCCATTGCGTACAAATGAAAGACTTCTCCAACGTTAAGTATTAGCTTCTGTGTAAAAATCCACAGAACTCAGGTTTTTTTTTGTAAATAATTTTTTTTCCTTTTTATTTTCTTCTCTTAGGTAATTAATGCCAATATGCAAAACAGAAGCCCTAAGCCAGGGCCCACTGCACATGAGCAAGAACTTGGGTTTTTTTTGGAAACAGGACTTCAAAGAGCACATGTTTTATATTTCAAGAACGGGTAAGATTTAATTCTCCTTTTTTTTTTTTTTTTTTGCACTTTTGTTTAGGTTTTGTATTTGTGATCTAACTGAGCATCATAATTTTTAGGAATTATGGATTGTGTAGTCATGAGGCCTCTTATTAATATAGTAATATTTTGATTGAAATAAAGGCTGCCCATATTGTATTTGTTTGCATATTGTAAAATCATTAAAGTATATTAAACAGAAAGCATTTTATGTTTTAACTTATAAAATACGAGAACTTAAAATACCTTAAACTTTAACAATTTGAAATTACTTTTACTTTATTACTAGACACTGTTAGAAAGTGATTGACAACATATTGAAACTCTTATTTTTAAAATTTTGATTTTGTAATCTTTTTTTCCAAATCTCCTCAGTTGTCACTTATTTTAACATTATGCTGCAGGATAAATGTGCATGAAGATCAACAGTATGTATACAAGTATACAGTCTCCATTGTACTTGGTCTATAGATCCTTTTAGATTCTGCATGGGAGATCCTTTATAATTTATTTTAAATAAGGCTTTCCATAAAAGCTTGAAGATAAATTCAGATATCACAGAAAACTAAAAAAAGGAACGCAACTCTCCATTTCTAAGAGCTTCAAAACTTGGCACAAATGGTTTTTAAGTACATTTCTGACATTTGTTGTTGAAATCACATAGTTTAAAAATTTGTTTGCGGGGCTTCTTATTACACTAGGACAATGTGGTTTGATGGAAATATTGGAACTCTTGATAGGACTACTGTTTTGTACCAAAAATGTTTCTTATTCTTTCAAATACATAAACAGGAGATGAAGGGAAATCATGCAGTGTCTGTAAAGAGTTTGAGATTGTAATGTACTGATAGTTGGGTGACAAAAGGTTATTCAGGTTTTCAAACCTTTCAGGGTTTTCAGCATGGAAATGATCACTAAGATTTTAATTACTTTTTCTTAAAGTAATGAAGTAGTGCTGCAATAACACATGATCCACGAGTTACATTTTTAGTTCTGCTTTCATAATTTAATTGCAGGAGGAACGGAATGTTCAAAAGTTCATTTTTTTAATTTACCAGAGCTAAAAATAAAATTTCTGTTTTCTTGCCTGCACAAAAGATAAATAAAATAGATGCATTGAAGGAATCCCAGTGACAATTGTGGTTAAGAATAAGCTAAAAATTCCACATTTTGAAGAATTTTGATTGAAGGCCAGGAATGGAAATGGTCCATTTAATCTGACATGTTGTGAGTAAAAGCAATCAGCAATAGACATAGCAGATTAAGAATAATTACAAAGCCAAAAAACATCCCCACAAAAAAGTCATGCAGTGGGTTATTAAGGAACATCCAGCCCATAAGAGCATTTTTCCTAGACCATATCAGTTGTTCTGCTGTGAACTTTGAAAGGTTGATTGTAACCAATGTACACTTTAACCCTTCACAGTGAAGGTGTTGGTGTTCTTGTTAACTCCTATGTAAGCACATAATCCGTTTTGCAGTCTTGAGTGCAATCGTCACTTGCAGTTTACAAACTAATTACAAAATATATATTTAATTTTAAATTTCTTCTTCCAGTTTCATTAGCCAGTGCTACATTTTTTTTTTGTGGTACGAGAGTAAGAAGCGAGGTGTTAGGAAAAATAGCTCTGCGCCAATCATTATTTTACATATTCCTGCCATTATATCCTTTAGTTTCTTAATTTAGAGCCAATCCCAAGTCTTTCAAGATTTCTTAATATGGTCATTCCAGGCTGCTAGTTATGTTCCTGCTTTTATGGGTCCCTTCTTTGTTTTTTAAGGTTTTAACTTGGGCTTACCAGAACTGAACAGAACTTCAAATATATACTTTTCTAATAATGACAAATTTATAGCATGCATTTTAATTCATTTATTTTAAGGATACTTTGCTTGGTTTTTAAATTTGTTGTCTCTCCTGATGTTAGTTTTATGGAAATTAGATTCAAGATCTTTGCAACATACTTCAAGTTTGAATTTAATCTAAAACTTTAAAGATTATATGAATATTTTCAAGGAGAGGAAATGTAGATATCGTTATTATAGGCAGTTTAGAAACAGAAACATTTAATTTTTGCAGTTGAAGCTGTAGATGTTAAAAGGGCTTTGATCCTGTGGAGGACACAGGGAATCACCAGAGTTTAACTGCTTGTGAGCGATGGAGGAGAAGAAGAAAAAAAGTGTGCCATCTGTTTTTACAGGCAAGCTAAATCTGCTACTCGTATTGCAATTCAGCAGAATCTCGTACTTACGTATGTTCACGAAGTGAGGCTGACACTTAGAAGACCTGAATCTGAAATAGAATTCCTTTCACCAAACTGTAATCTGGCATTGGTTGGAGTCCATTCAAATATTATCTTGTTATCAGCATAGTGGCTATAGTAATTTATGTGTTAGAGCAGGCTTAAAGATCTGAGTAGATGTCTATGGATGATTGATATGGAATTTGGGTGGGTTATTTAGACTTCAGTTCCACTCCAATAAGTACTAATAAGCATCTCTTGAAATCTGCTGGAGAATTAAATTTGTCTGAAGTCCTTTTGCTATGGAGTGGGTTTTTGTTGTTGTTGTGTATCTAGGGGTCAGCTGGCTAATCACTGCTTTTGTTTACACTTCTTCCACTAGAAGTGTAGGCAGCGTTTTTGTACGTGTGAGGTACAAATTAGAAAAGCAAATAAGATAACTGTTGGACTAGCTGGAGGAACATAATTTTAGCAGTAAGGTAGGGAGTATTGCTGCCTACCCAGAAAGCTGGTTGATCTCCTTTAAATTTCCCCTTTGTTCACTAACTGTACACAGACTTTAAGAGAAGAAATCAAGTTTTTGTAGAGGATTAAGTGACTGTTGTTCAGGTATGTGTTATCTTGTATGAAAAACTTCAGAGTGTTTGAAACCTAATTTAGCCTAGCTGATAAGTGCTGACATTCTGAAAATACATGGAAAAGCAATTATCTAAAAAACCCATAAAGTGGCAGTAGTCTGAACAGAAGAATGTTATTTTAGTGCTCTGTTAAGACACAAATCTAAAATTAATGTTTTCTTCCAAAGTGTAAAGAATTTTAGTAAAAAACCAAACTAACATACCCGTTTTTCTCTTGGGAGCAGGGGAACGTTTCAGCTTGGAAATGAGTAACAAAGGAGTTGAGGAAGCTGTTTTAAAACTTCAAGTAGGGTTTATGTGCTTTTAAAAAACATTCTGAAATATGTAACTTTAAAAGTCTTAGAGGCTGATTACACAACTTCCATTTAGTCTGGTACTTGCTTTGTAATTTCAGTTTGAAGGTGTTCAAAGTCCTGATGTTGTTCCAAGAAAAGCTGTGAGTGCAGGAACTTTGACATTAGTACTTTAACATAGCTGTTTTCAAGTAAAATGACCCTGAGAGAGAAAGGACAAGGGTTTATGTACCCAGTAATCCTTCTGTCTTAGTATTTGCCTTGTATTCATGTTATGAGATAAACAAGACAAACTTAAATTGAAAACTGTTTTATTTTTTGAGGTAGTAGTATTCATAAATGTACTGGAAGTATATGCTCTTAAAGCAAAAGAGCTTTTTGTTGGAATCTAAAATCAGGTAGCTGTCCTGTGGAAAACCAGACTGAGCTAGCTTTCAGAGCTCTTTTTTGTGGCTTCTCCTATATTTCGCACCCTTTCCGAGGATATTGAACTGTCAGAGTCCAGGATCCAGACTGCAATGTGGTCTAATCTCGGTCACGGTTCAAAGCCTGAGGAAGTTGGACCAGATCTGTACTCCTCATGGTGCCATTACCTGTGCTGGCAGAGCCGCAGTGAAGCATGACCTGCCCAGTCTTATATAGGAGTTTGTAGATTTTCTTTTAAATATAGATAAAATAACTCTGTAAAGTTTATGACCATACAAATTGACTGATGTGTAAAACAATGCTAAATATTTACCAGAATAAATTCTACTTACTATATTCCCTCTGCTAACTTATTTTCTTAGTAAAACTTTCTGGCACGTTTAGCACTTTTTTCTTATGAATTCAAGGATAGGCTTTTTTTGTTTATGGTTTTCTTTGGCACCTTCTTAATCTACCCCCGTTTCTTCCTCTGACTAGATCTCTGCTTGAAAGAAGAAACTCGCAAAATAGTAGGAGGTAAAGGGCAAGGCTGCTAGTGCACTCTGTCTCCAGTAACTGGAGGAGTCCTTTTGTGAATCTGATCTTTGTGCCTTAATAGCTGAGTCTGGTACTTGGTGTATACACAAGCACCTGCATACATGTATATAGTGTGTTGTATATATATACACTTATATAAGAAAACATTCTGAGGAGGAGCTGGGGTGGTGGTGTCAAGAGAAACAGTAAACAAAATATTTATTATGAAGAAAGTTAACTCTGCCTCAGCTTAACCCAGGACAGTAGCATACTGACACTGTAAAATGGAGTTACCTGCTCTAATCTTCCCCATACCTACACTCCTGGCATGCATTTTTCTTGTTTCCTTTGTACTGATTGTTATACTTGTTTGTCTTTTTTGTGGAGTAATTTCATTCTTCAAAACAGCAGAAAACAAACAGCAAAGAAAAACCAGCTTTCTGTCCTTTTCATGAGACAAATTGATTGGGTAGAGGATGTGATAATGGCTGGTGTGGCTGTGAGAAAAAAGGTAGGACCCTGCAAGTGAGAGTAGGAAGATGTGAAGGAAGAATGGTGGAAAAAGGGAACAAACACTGAAAGAGGAGAACAGGGAGAGTGAGACCTTCCTCTTTTGGTCCTGAACTGTTTAGGTAGACTTAACTACCAGTGGAACTGCGGTCTAGGCAATAAGTGTTTTCATTTTGAATGCATAAATTCAAGAATTGCTGCTTGATTGGGCTGTTTCAAATACTTAGGCTTGTGTAGCTGTAATGGCACACTGAAGATGATTCATTTATAAGAGCAGATGTCAATCAAGAACCTTCAAGTATCGAGCAATCATGATCTTCTGTAGTGAACTTGAGATACATGGGATTATTCATTCTGCATGAGTTAAA